AATTTTTGTTTCGTTTTTTACACTATCGTCTTTTGCATTAAGTTTTACTTGGAAAAAGAAAATAATTTTAAGACTTAATGCTGAATAAAATTGTAAGTTTTTAAAATTGAAAATTAAGGCTTATATTTTTAAAATTTCTCTTTTAAAATATTGAATATTTTTAAACATTATCCTTTGGTTTGAGCCCATGAAATTTACATTAGCTTAAAGTCTTATTTTTGGATTTTTGTTCAGAAGCTCTTTAGTCCGCGTAAAACAACTTTATTGTACAGTTTAGCCGATTCTTAATAATTATCTTCACCAATTGTAAAATCTAATATGCCACATGTCATAGACAATGACTCATAGTTGAAGAATCACAAAATAAGAATCTGTTTCTTTTACATCAAATTTAAAAAAACGGTTGACAAATATAAAATAAAACACATTTCCAATGTTTCTATAACAACTAAAAACAAGGAAGAAAAGAAAATATAAAACTTGATAATTATTTTTTCTTTGAAAATATCCTATTATTTTTCCGGTATAAAAAAAAATATATTATACATAAACTGAAAAAGTAAAAAAATGTGTAAAAAACACCTTCTGAATGAATTGATAAAATGTAAGCTCAAAGGTTTTTCCCATTTATTTTATAGAATTGAACAATACTTATCTGATTCATCCGGCAATATTTTATCGTATTTTTTTCTGTTCCATACTACAACACATATATTGTATTAACTTATGTTAGTATATTATTTAAACAGTATGTTCAGGTAATCTTTAACCTAACAGCATATGGACTTAAGTTAATCTAAAAAAGTATTATACAGTATTCTATATTAATGTAACATTATAATAAATAAACGTGGTTTTGTGATAAAAAAATAAATTAGGATTCATCGAATAAACTATATGATATAGATATGTGTAACAAAAATGTATTATAAGGAAATATGTTTACAAATTATACTATAGATAACATTTTATCGATTTTATAGTATTTTCACGAATAACATTAATCAAGGCTTTGAATGAAGAAATGAACGTTTTGGTTTTATAACGATGTATATATGTCTATTTGGTTTTTGTGTTTGTCATTTTTTTTCCTTTTAATACAATAAAAATGATTCTTTCTGAAACTTTATCAAATTGAATTTAATTGGTATTTTGGGGGTATAGAATTGGAGGTAAACTTACCATGCTTTTCTTAATGATTGAAAAAAAAACTAAAAAATAAATAAATACGAAATAACGGTAAATAGGTGGGTTGATTTTTGATGAAATCAATTTTATTGTAATTCAAAAACAAATAAAATAAATACTTTAAATTACATTAAATATTTATATCATATTATTATCCTGAATATGGTACAATTTTCAAAATATTTTAGCTGTATTATTAAACTATTTATAAACAATTAATTTTTTCAACATTTTATTTTTATTTTTATAAACACTGATGAAAGATCTTATGCTCAGTCAAATTATTTAAAAATTTAATAAAGAATTCCTCAAAAGCTATAGTTCTTACTGTCGTTAAAAACATCAACAATTTTATTATCTACTCATTTTGATTTTATAGACATTTTAAGTTCAAATTTTGGCAAAATTAAATATTTCAGCAAAAAGTAACAAATGATATATTATATTTTGTTGTAATTCAAAAAAAAAAAATAATATTCCCAGAGACTTGTAGTATTTTGACATTATGTTTACACAATGATATTTTTATAACGTTTAGACCACTTTTAAGTGATGTACAAATATCACGAACCTATTCACCTATTCACTTGTCACGTCATTCAATTATTTCAACTGTATATACGAATAGTATTTCGTGTTCAAGTATTGTCTTAATAGTTATAGGTTGATAACGTTAAATTAATATCTTACGAAAATTTATTTTAACTTAATTTTATGTATTGATATTTTTTTTTTTCCATTATCACTGATAATTAGAAAATAAACAATGATCATTATATGACACGTCTGTCTTAACTTGAGCGTGATTTTAATTTGTATGTAATCTATAACATACAAAATTGAAAAGTAGCTTTAGAAATATAGTTTAATATGTCGTCTCTGTTGAAAAATATTTTTCGTTAACTGATTTGTCAATAAATTACAAAGTATTACATCTATTGTAGTAATCTATTCGAGGTACACTTGTCGTTTTATATACTATCGTATAGTAAAGAGAGTTCTCCAGTTTTTATAAACTATTTAGTTTGTCAAAGAGCATAAATGCATATATTAAATGTAATATTTATTCCAGGTTATAAAGACAATCATTAAACATTTAATGAATTATTAATGAACTAATGGTTTTTTAAACATGATTTAATGGCTATGATTAGTCCATTAAATCCTTTGAATCATTAGGTTAAGTTTTAGTTTGCAACTCAGCATTAAAAAAATTATTTATTATTACACCATATTATGTCTTACACATTTTTTTTTAAATATTTTAGTTATAAGTTATGACCGCACGTTTAAAAATAATATTATATAAAAAAATCTTACTTTTCAATAAAGCTCTTGTTGAGATTCCCTGCAGATATATTGGTAAATTTATGCTTTTTGAATACTTCTGTTTTTGGTTATCTATTAATTAATAATTTTTAGTACTACAATAGTTGTAAAACCTATCATAAAAGTACCTATAATGAGATTATAAGGTCATTTTTTATCGTGTTCTTTACTTCATTAATTATTATTTTCAATGAAAATATGTTATAACAGAACTTTAATTGGCTACCTATCTATATCATAGAAAAAAAAAAAAAATTCTAAAATACAAATAGTACCTAACGTAATTAACTTTACTAGTCGTTTTATTAAATAAACCAAATCAATGTTATAACTTAATACTCGTAGATTTTAATACTAAATAATTTAATGTTTCAAAATACTAACAGTAGGTAGTAGCATACACAATAACCATTAAAACCATTCTGCGGGGCTATGGATCAATAACACTATAACCAATGCATTTGTCGTGTTAATATAGTGATAAAATGATATAAATCATTATAATTAAATATAGGGTTCCAAAAAACAACATAAATCATTGCAATCGGTATTCTTAATGGTCTCTTGGAAAACTTATATACTCAGACCAAATAATATTGTCAATAACTAACCAGTTAATCTATATGGTCCTGCACTACTGAACTGTAATCGATGATACGTGATTAGACGTACAAATTGAAACGATCGTCAGACAAAAGCAAATACACGAAAGATAATAATTTTAGAGCAACGATAATTATCAATTATTTCGACAGTTCTTGGGTCAGCGAGTAACTACAGGATCAGTGATGAAATGCTAATATTTTGTTCTCTGGTTATTTTAAAGCACTACCCAGGGGACCCATTTGCAGGGATACCGCCCCGCCATTAAACGGTTTGGCAATATTCCCGAAGGCTCAGCAATAATAATTGCGATTCTGATGGAACTACCATGATAGTTTATTGGCCCCGTAGCAGTTTATTACGTGCAGAGTTGTTTTTAACCAGTATCAATGAAAATATAACGGTTATCAAAAAAAAAAAAAAAAAGTATACTATTTCCAACACTTTATATATCATGGAGCGATGATGATATTTTCGTTCAATCACTGACTTCGAGGAATAGCGTTTTTGAAAATGATTTGTGTCGATCGAAATAACCTAACCTAACCTACTCGTAAACGACTATTAAGCCAACAGAAGTTTATTGACGGATACAATTTTATATCTAGTGTAGCAAAAAATACACTTTAAATTGTCTGTAAAATGGAAATGGTTATGGACAGTGATGGAAAATTATTATACAGGTATCGGTAGTATAATATGTATTTTTGTCCACGCAATACCTATAAATAATCCACAGAAGAGCATTTTTATACAACAATATAATTAAATCTTTTAAGATACTTTTGTACTAGAAAGTAGTTGTAATATTAATATCACATTATTTAGACAAATACATTGTATAATATTTAGTTTACTAACTTATTTTTCTTCTTTGGTGATTTCTTGTGTTTGTATACGTTTATGTGTACAAATAATTAAATATTCACCTGTTTAAATTAATTCACATTATACGCTTCAATATTATACCATAAAGAATAATAAATTCTTTTAAATGAAAAAAAAAACTAATAATAAATATTACAATTTAAATTTTAAACAGAACTTTTTTTTAAATTCTGAACAGTTTTTAATTATTAATATCGACAAATATATTAAAAATTCGATTTTAAAATAATAATATTAATTAAAATATATTATTAAAATAGAAACTTATTATCTTCATTTGATAATAGCGGTTATGTTACACCATCTGCTGCTATTTAATTAGTTTATATAATTTTGTATATATTTTTTTTTTTTTTGTGGAATATATTATTTTTAATGTTACTGGAATTTTAATATAAGATATAATAGAAACTTAAAAAAAAAAAAATAATTACAATTCTAAATGACGTGTTCAAGTAAAATATAATTAATTAATTTTATTTTGTAGTATAAACTATCTATTTTTTTAGTAAATATTTACTCATGAATATTAAATTAAAAAAGGTTGTTTTTGTTTTACTAAAAGAATTAATAATTTGTAAACATTTTATAGTTTATTGAACTGTTAAATGTTAACCATTATATTTTCATTTTAACTATTATATTTTATATTTACAAAAATGATTCATTTAAGAAATAAATATATACTATCTAATCTAAAATTGAATCAAATGCGAATATCAATAAAGATATGGAATTCTTGTTTCAGAAATATTATACATTATTCGAAATGCGTCTCATTTTTCTTTTTTTTTTTTAATAAATGTATAATTTATAATATAATTTAGTGTAGTTGATATAGATAGATTTTTTTATACATTAACATTTCTTTATTAATAATATTTACTTAGGTACTTATTTAAATATATCCAAGTAACGGTATAAAATACAATTTTATTTATGCCATATTTAAAATAAACAAAAAAGTATAGTATAATAGGTAATAAATTTAATACTTAACGAAATTCTTTTATATATTTAATGTATAACTGTATTTGTTCGGTCTACAAATGAAATAGATTAAATTATTGGTTTGCAACATGTATCAGATAATCCAAATATACTAGTGATTAAATTCAAACCACATTTTAAAATAAAGCTAATGGGATCATAATCGCAATCTGGTTCGCCAATACCACTATAATCTTCCGTAGTAGTCTCAAACTGTTCTACATCCGGAAATGTAGTCGTTACATCGTATTTTGTCGCTTCTGTATTTGTGTTCTTTGGTTCGTTTGAAGACATTGTAGGTGGCTGTGGTATTGAAGGTGTTGGCAAAGAAGGTATTGATGGCATTGACGGCATAGAAGGCAAAGACGGCATAGACGGCATAGAAGGTAAAGACGGCATAGAAGGTAAAGACGGCATTGATGGCATAGAAGGTAAAGACGGCATTGATGGCATAGAAGGTAGTGAAGGTATTGGAGGCAATGAACGAACGGTTCTAGTCTCATCGTCATTGGTCGGAGAGCGATAAGTTCCTTCAGGAGGTTGTTCTTCAACGAGCTCTAGTGATCTTTTAACTTTGTTCGTGGAATCTTCATTCAAAATGTCTTGTTCTAATTCATTATAATAATCGGAATCAGCTGGCTTTTCTTTGTTTTGTATCCAAATAGTCATACTATTAGTTTTGTTATCGTTTTTTACGATTTTATAGCCATATGACCATAGAATATAAGTATATCTACTTAAATATTCCATGACTAAAGAATTATCTATGATGTTACTTTCGAAACAATTTCGATCATCTGATGAGCATTTAGTTAAATCTGTGAATAAATTGTTTTTAATATTAAAAGAATAACTTTTTACGTAAATTAGTCAAATAGTGTACGAATATTTTTAATGTTTGTACCGAATATTTCAATTCGTTAAGTTGTGGATTAGTTTTATACTATTTCATTGAAATGCCTAATAATTATTGACGTAATATTTTTCAAACAAATAACTTTCATTTCTTCTATTATAATTAAGTGGCTTATACTCGAATTACAGTTGACTGATGCGCAAAAAGTAATTTAGATAATAGGATCAAACGTTGAACGATAAAAGTGGTTAAAATATCGTGAATAACAAACGCAAATGTCTCCTTAGAGTAATATTAAAATGTGAATGCTTTTAAAATTATATGTAGTCATTGTAGCTATTAGTACTTACTACTTACCTATGTTTAAACTTTGTTCAGGTCTTCTGATTACTTTAGAGTTAGTAAACTTTGACATTTGACATACCTGTAATATATAAATTACAAAAAACTTTAATTTTTCTAATTTTTGTTGTTATAACATTAGAAATTGACTCAAATTTACTTGAGTGATTTTTCTCAGATTTAAGTTAAGTTATTATTGATTAATTATGTACGATGATGGTAAAATTATGAAATAATCTAAAGAAAAAGTTAATAAAATGAAATCTCTAAATTATAGTTAAGATTAAAAATACACGGGTACTCAAATTGAGACATAAAATATGATATTAAAAATAAATAAATAAGAGATCTTATATCTATGCTTAATAATTACTATTTGTATAATAATCATTGATAACATTTTTTACGCATATTGTTAATATATAAATTAATGATGATAAATAATGTATTATATATATATATATAAATACAGTAGTAATGTATGAAATAATAATATATATTTTATATTTCAACTTTAAATAGTGTGTTGAAATATGATTTGGTCGATCATATTTAATTTATTTAATAATCGAGTAAATTTACAAAAAAACTACGGTGTGTATAAAACCATTTGATAATCTATAATATTAGTGTAAAATGGGGGAAAACAGCAACCAGGATTTGCTGAGAAAACCCTTGACGTGTAATTGTAAATTTAAAGGACTCGCCAATCATGTGTCTCGTGGGAATTCATGACGAATTACGGATATTATATGTGTTTGAACAATGATTTGGAGAGCAATCGAAACGACGTAGCAGAATCGACAAAATGACGTTACAATGGGGTCGGCAATTTAAAAATACTCGTAGATAGCTACAATTAAAATCTAATGTCTTTTAAAATTGACACACACGCATTTTCACTCGAAAAACAGTAAAACAAAAACGTCGGCTTATATTTGTTGGCGAAAATTGTAAAACAAGATAGTGTTATGAACCCCATTAGATGTTTCTTCTGAAAACGTCTTTATAACAGGAGTGAAATAATAAATTGACAGATTGAGAAAAAACTTTGAAATTACAAAGCATTGTTTAATTTAATATGAATTGAATATGAATGACAACCTTAAGATAAGATATCGACAGAAATTGTAAAAATTATGTTTATAATTCATAAACAACTGTATCGCTTTTACACTCAAGTATTTAAATTAAACTAAATTATTTCTAAATTATTTTTAGAAAAAATATCAAATATTAGTTTGAATAAAAAAAAAATATTTCAGTTAAATGCATTTAAATTATAAACGATGATTTTAATGTTTTATTTTACATTTTTGGTGGATTTTTAAAATACAAATATTTATATGGTATACAAAATCAATTAATTACAAATCATGATAACTTAAGCTTTTTAAAGCAAATTTATCATTCGATAATATTTTTTTCCATAAAAGTGACTATATTTTATATTGTACAAATAGTATAGGTATGTGATTAAATTTTTTTTAATTACTCGGTTTAAAATTGAAACATCTATTTTACGTAAATAAATAATAAAAATGATTTGGCTCCGCTCAAAATCTAATAGTTAAATAATTTAATTAACTTTTTTGTAACAATATGAACAGTATTATAATTTTAAATTCATTCAATAATATAAATGATTTTCTTATAGATAATATAAATAGCGAAAAACTTTACGTTTTCATACATTTTTCTAATGAAAATTACACCGTAAAATCGTATACTTTATATAAACTCTAAAAATTAAAATATTTTCTTAATTAAGTCCTAAACATTAAAAGTAATTTTATTTGTGAAATATTACTTAAGCCTTTATAGAAGTCCAAGTATATAATATTAATAATAAATAATTTCTGGTAAAGAGGACTTTATTTAACTTTATTATTATTAATATTGTTTTATGTAGAAACTAAACGAAATTTAACAATGATACTTGAAAACGATACTTACATAAAGGAAAACACAAATATATTGTATTACGATCATGGTATTTTGTGAAGTGCACCATACACAAGAATGAATAATGTACTTTTGACTGCAAATCATAAAATTTAGATAAACCGCATAATATTATACTGACTTTAAGCTTCCTGTTTTTCCCTCTGATAACCATAATATTCAAGAGTATTTATGTGTGTTTGCGTGTATCTATTATGTGCATCTTTCTTTGTGTTATAATAATTTTGAATTCAAAATTCTAAAATTATTTCCTCTATTCAATATGTACGAGTATCCATTATTCTATGACGATTTATAAACAGATTAAAAATATATCAAAATTGCATGTATAATAATAATAACGATAATAAGGTGATTATGTTACGTTACGTTATATTATAGTTAGTTAATCGATGGAACAAAACGTCTTTGATGACCTTCCGATTGTAATTTTCATGATAGTCATATTTCCCTGCAATAACCTATTATTAGAAGAAAAAATAGATTTAATATACTTCATGAATTAATATCGTAATTTATAAAACACGGTACTTTAATAGAAAGCTGTACGTACTTATCAAACTTTTTTGGTAAAAATACATACTAACCTTCATGTATTTAACATATTTATTAGTTACGAAATTACTAATGACTATAATACTTAAAAAATAAAATATATTTGAAAGAATACTTATTATTATTTATTTTTTTTTTTTTGAAATGATTTACATTGTTTTTATTAGGAGGTAAATGGGTAGGTAATGGGTAGCGTAATATCATAAACCCACATTCTCTTATTAAAAATAATAAAAATATTTATGTAAAATGACTAATGTGTAACATAATAACGAAATTACGACCTATAATATTTATTTTATTTCAAACGTTCACTTTAATGTTAATGGAGAATAAAGAGGCCATTAAATTCTTATACTTATATGAGTTTAAATCTAGTTATATTAATATTTATTCAAAATATAACCAGCATGAGGTAGCTATATGGAAAAAATTACAATTATATTACGCAAACTACACGTATGTATTAATATAAAATATTAATAACAAAATCATTTGGAATTCAAATGTAGGTATAATTTAACATTTATTTGGACTAAAGTTTTAATATTTTCATTTTGAGAAAAAATTGTTTTTCTTTTTAAACTTATTTTTCGTATTTCTAAAAGATAATTTAAGAAATTTTGACAAAACGTTTACTCGTATATTTCTCCTACCATGACATACCCAACGTCGGAGAGTAAAGAGCAGAGGAGACGAATGAAACACGTATATGTATATGAATATGTGTAATGTGTATAATGACTGATGAAGGACGTCTGACGCATGACGGGTATTGTGACTGATAAGAAGCAATAAAACGCGGCACCATATGATAAATGCATATTTAAAACGTAGTAACTTGACTCCGGAGGATATGCATCAATCAGGATAAAAACCATGGCACGTAAATCAACAAATCCTTTCTCCACGCGTTACACGCTCTGCAAGAGTATAAAAAATATGATATTAAACGCACACGCCTGCGGTGTTCAATATTTGTATTATGTACATTTTTTTCGTATTTAATAATATTATAGGTACCATGAATGATTCTATAAAAAAATATCTGAAATAAAAAACGTTAGTGGTAAAAATGGGAGGAATGATAATTATAAATTGTACCTAGTACAATACGATACGTAAGTATAGAAAAATTCCAATTTTCAAACGTCTAATTTAGAAGTTACGTTACGCTGTGATTAATACATTATAGGTAACTACAAATTTAAAGACGGGATCAAAGACATTCAAAATTAGTTATTTTTGGTTAAAAATTATAAGTAAACTATTACTAAATTAATATAACTGTACTTTATTGTACCCTTTAACTGTATACGATTACATACAGAATAATTACACGGGAATTAGAAAAGTTTGAGACAAAGATAATGTTATTCAAAAAGAAATTTGGAAACTTGTATGAAAAAATATATGTTTAATACTTGAGTTGAAAGAATATACTATATATATATATATATAAAAAAAGCGCGAATTATAAAAATAATGAAAGGATGTATTTCTATTTTACAATATTTGTGGTTTTAGATGATATTTTTACCGTAAACATTTTTAATTTTTGACATTTTTTAAACTTGTCCGACGTTTTTTCCATTAAAACTTTTTCCACTGAAATTTTAGTAAATTATCATCGTGAGATATCAGACAGTCTTAAGATACACACACATGCATATTTGTTACATAAACTTGGGCAAATATGGATAGAACATAAAAAAATACCTAAACAATACAGTATGTATTACAAGTGTCTTGTTTTATTTTCGGCTCTATAATAAAACTAATAAAATATTGTTTATCGGGTTATCTGGCATAAACGAAATCTTATAGTAAGTACCTATAGCTAGACTTGATCATCAAAAACATTGAAAGTTTAAATTGATTGAATGCACATTCAGCACACACATATAACAAAAAAATATTGCAGAGATAAAATATATTTACATGCAACAATCCAGGTAAGTAACTGAAATGTTTTTAAATATTATTATTGTTTTTCGTATTTGTATGAATAATAAACATTTAGATTCCAGATATATTATGGTTGGTAATCTACTCCACAAGCCAAATTATATTATTAGGTTGTGTTAAGATGATTAGTATATAATATTATGCAATTATATTTATTATGTGTATAATTAAGAATTTTTCCACAATAAATGTATATATTATAATATTAATTTAATATCCATAATTAATATTTATCTATAGTTGTATCATAATAAATTATTAATGTATTATTATACTAAAAAAATAAAATCATTTATCACTAAAATTTAACAACATATACGGAAGGGAAAATGTTATATTTTATAATACCTAGTAAAAAATTATCTTTTTCAATTTAATTACGATTTCTATAATATTATTAGTTACTATATTTATGTGGTGTATTATTATATTAACCACGAATTAAAATAAATAACTATTGGGTCATCTAATTAAATTCTAATACAATAAACTATCATAAGCCAAATGTAAAAATTAAATTATTATAAATATAAAATATGATGTTAATTTATTTTATTTTTATCATTGAAAATAAGGATTATTTACAATCCCATTAGTAGTGCAATGACAATTACTGTTGGTTATCAGTATTCAAATATATGTATAATTCAAACATACAAAAATATTTCTTATCCTACATCATTAAAAATAACTAACCAAGATACAAAACAATACATGTTTTTTAACTGTCTACTCCAATAACTATCAAATATGAATGATGAGGCGCTTTTATCATTATTTTGTTTTTTTGAATATGTTAAAAAAGTCTTATTTTTTTTAAACAATGTGTCATGGTTGTTTTAAATTAACATGGATTACTGTCATAGACGATATATGAACTGTGTTACTTACTAAAAATAATTGGAACGATAGTTTTTAATTTTAGCTCAAACACTTACTGATTTTGCATACCTAACGAATGTAAACTTAAAAATATTAATGAAACTATATTTTATTCTTCGTCATAGGGGGGCGGTTTACTTAAATAATCATAAATAAAAAATATAAATAAAAAACGGCATGGTAACGATGACATGAAGAATGTACATTATTATATACAAACAACTGCTAAAACTTACGCTTGAGAAAATAAGGTTTTGAATGCATTGACAGTAGAATGATTATGTAATCACATAAAAAAGTTAATATCAAATAAATTTGATTAGGTGTTGAGCGTCAAAATATGAACAAGTGAACAAATAGTTCAATTACTTAGATATTTTTATAAACGTAGCAGCAACTAATTTATGCTGATTAAATTCTTTTTTTAAGGAACGTTTTTAAAAGTGTAAATAAATAAGCTGTCAAGTAAAAATATTTAATGCTTTGTATTTTTTTTTTAATAGTATACTAGTATTTACACAGCCACGTTCAGTATTCGCATTTGATAAAGGGTGCAATTATTATTAGAAAAAAAAAATAAATAAAAAATACAAAAAGTGGGTATGTACTGTAAAGTTTGAGAGACACGTCAAATAAGAGAAATACTCAATACGAGTGTTTCAAACAGACGATTATTTAGCAAACAGAAAAAATAAATATAACACATTTGAACATAATCAGTTGTGAGACTAACCAATAGTGAATAATTTTGTTTGTATATGTTGTTATTGTTTTTGATGTTGTTCTCAAAGTTTATTTATTTTTTTTAACCCGACCGACATACGGCTGAATCATACCAAATACATTTATGTATATTGTATATGTATGTAGAAGTAATTTTCTCCCATCGCTGAGCTGTCTACCTACTTTGCCGCGGGTTTATAAAGGAAATCAAAAATTTTTGTCGAATCAAACTGGATGATTTATTTTCATTGCGGCAACTGGGTGTCATGGCGACACCGTGTGTTTCTCGTCGATAACTCACAAAATGCACAAAACTTGTCATGCCTCGTTGACGACTGATCTCCTGTGTATACATTTATGTACGAGCATATACGGGAAACGAGACATGGGATATGTGAGAGTATTATTGCCGGATGTTCTAAAAGTATATCGAATACCTACTATATAATAGTACCTATAACTAGTAGGCAAAAATATTTTGTCTTCTTGGTGTCACTGTGATAGCAATTTATACGTTCGTACGAAACCGAAGACTTTGTGACTTAATACAGTGCCTTTATGGCTTTTCTATTTATTTTTACTTGTTAGCTCGAGAAACATTTTAAAAGGATCTCAATTTATTCTGACTAGTAACGACTACTAACTTGTCTCATATGTAAATGTATTTACACGGTAAACAGTTAAACTATTTAATTATAATGGCTATAGTTTAAACATCGTACTATTAAGGTTAATATATTTTTTTTATTCCAATCGTTTTTTTTTTATATAACGCAATCGAAATCAAGATTAATTATTATATATTTTTTTTCTATAATGATTAATTTTTTTATAAGGCGTGTTGTTGTGTACACCACAACCGATTGTGCTAAGAATAAGTATTTTAAAGCATTTTACTGGTTACCATAACTTATAACTGCAAATGAGTTATGTTCTTCGATAAGATAAGTTAACGAAATTTTAACTTTGTTCGTTTAGCTATCAAAAGTATGT